TCATAACAGGTTGACATGGGTCTTTGCATATTTAAACTACATCCGTAATTGGTATTTTGCGATTGACAAGTATATAGTAAAAGAATAAACATCATTCTTGACTAGTATATTATAATAAAATAAAACCGAATTTCAAATCCAGTTTTACTCGAATGCATTATAAACAAATTGCTTTAATACACTACAACCTGCGATTCTATATATTCTAGCTTGTACAAGAAACATCTATTATTATTATTAATTATTTTTTTCAAAGTCCACTTTAATCATATAAAAGGCTTATAATTGAAAAATTGTCTGTTGGCTTAAAACTTATTTAACAAACTTATTTGTCCATTTCATGTATGGCTGTGCTGATAGCGTTGCAAGTGTTGCTTGAGTACGTCTACTTCGTCGAACTTCTTGAGCCGAATAAGATATAGCCATATCCTGGTTTTAATCGGTAAAACTATAGTTAAAATTTGATGCAATAATGGTACATAATAAAGAAAAATACAAACTTGTTGTCGCTTATTCATGCTTGATGAGATATCTTGATAACGTGCCGACAACTCGTTACTCAACGCTAATTCCCGTATTCCTTTGGTATTAAGCCACTGTCTTAACTCTTCGACCTAATAATTAGTTTACAAAATTAATAATAAAATTTTATTGATTACCAACACAATTTAAAACAAACCTGGTTTACATCTTCATAATAACCCCATTTCGTCTGATTGTCAGAGCCTGAGCCAAAAGAAATTTCCTCAACTTTCCGTCTTTTGTTGAATCGTTGTTCTTCTTTCTCTGTCATTATTTGCAAATCATAAGCACTTGGTGTCTCTACAAAAATCCTCCCCGTTCCATATTTTTCACCGACTGCGGCACCTATGCAGTCAGTATAATAATATTTATTGTAGAAACGATCACGCCCCAAGGGTAAGATTCGTGGCAACGCATATTTTCGCTTGTCCTTTTCAATTTGTTCCTCCTGAAATTTATGTATCACCAAGTATTAATTTTTTTTTGATATAAATAAACGGTG